TGATTATGTCACTGATTAAGAAAGTATACAGAATCTGGATGAAAATATTCCACTTCACCCTTAAATACTTTCTGTCAATGTGAGAATATGACGATACTGTTCATCCTATCATGTTTAAGGCTGTGCTTTTACGTTCTAAACTATTTTGCTGTACAAGCTAAACTGAGTAACGCCCCACCCAGACCCTTCTGTCGGAAGAGAAGGATGGTTTTGCAAATTTGCAAAGGCTAGCGAGGCTCCCACTATGATGTCAGCACCCTGATACAGGTGCCCAGTCGCGATCACTGATGCATTCCTGGAGCCTATAAACAGCACAGAGCTCACAGCAGAGGCCTGGGTAAAGTGCTTCACATTCTGTCAGCCAGTTTAATCCTCCAACAACACTGTGAGCCAGGTACTCTCATTATCTGCATTTCTCACAAGAGGACACCAAAGCTGGGAGCCATGAGGAGGCCTGCATGAGGTGTCACAGTTAGGAAGCTGTGGAATCTGGATCCAAACTCAGGTGATCTGAGTCCAGAGCTCTTGCTTTTCCAGTTCCCAGCATAACATTATCATTCCTTTTTTAAATGACAAGCCTTACCAGTGATTATCAGTTAAACAGGCTTTTGTAAGCTGGATGACATGCCATCGGAAAACAACAAAAATGGATTACCTGTTCTTACTTTGCAATTCCAGAGGGGCAAGGTCACCTGTAGTCATATTCATTAACCCATGGGATAACACAGCTAAAAGCCTCATCAAAATTCCAGGTTGATCACGTCATATAAATCCTTTACTCTTTAATAAGGACAGACTCTCTAGAGAGCAAGAAAAGACCAACAAAGTGAAGTGTCCTGGAAAACGGAGGGACTGAGCGGGTATGGTATTAGATGTGCCAGAGAAAGGGTACACAGTTCAATGAGGTTCAGGGAATTCTGTGACTAAATACAGGCTGCTTACAGTTTTCTCCGAAGTTGTTTTTCCTTTTTATTACTGCTTGACTATCTAAAGCTTTGGAATATCATATCAAGGTATTTAGGCAATGATAGGAGATATTTTGAAGCTACCAAAATAAAATAAAGAATTCAGTAGTATATTAGTACACTTTTAAAACTTTAACTGCTTCTAATATACTAAGAATAATGAACAAACTCATTAAAACGGATTCATAAAGTACATTAATAATACAGATATATATTGATACAACCTAACCCATCATATGTGGCCTCAAAATGTTTTCCTGTTGTAAAGAATAAGAACATCAAGACAGATTCCACAAAGCTTAAAATGCTTAGCCAAAAGTTTTCGGTTTCAAAACATCTATGAACTTATTCTACGCCAGCAAGTACTATCGTTGTTTTCTGCTGTCCAGTCAATTCTGACTCACAGAAACCGTACTGAACAAAGTAGGACTGCCGCTTCAGATTTCCTAGGCTGTAGTTTTTACGGGAGTAAATTGCCAGGTCTTTCCTCCCACAGAGCAGCTGATGGGTTCAAACTGCCGACCGTCCAGTTAGCAACCGAGCACTTAATCACTGCACCACCAGGGCTTCTTCAACAAATACTAGGCCTCTAGAATTCCAAGTTTTGACCTGTTATCTTCTAAAGTCAGTCACTCATTAGTGAGTGTAAATATCAGGCAAATAACAGCAATAGATTAAAACCCAAAAGTAGCATATATTTCAAATGCTAATGGATAATTCATACTGGCAATATGTATAAAAACTAACCATCTAGATTTTAGAGGTATCTTATAAGCAATCTAGGTCCCTAGGTTGCACAAAAGGAAGAAAGACCTGGAATCTGCTTCCATAAAGATTATAGCCAAGAAAACCTTACGGAGCAGTTCTACCCTGTAACATAAGTCGGAGTCAGCTCGATGGCAATGAGTTTGGGTTTTTTTGTTTTTTGTTTCTAAGTAATCCAAATTAACCCTCCAAACAGAGCTCAGTATAAGTCAGACATACACTAAGAAAAAAACACCGATTCAAGTATTTAGTTACCTGACTATCTGCCCAGAATAGTATTTCAGAAAGTCCATCAGCTTTAATTTGTCTTCAGTGGTAGCTGTTCTCAGATTGGTAAAGAAAGATAATTCAACATTTGGGGGGCATGTCCTATTCATTTAAGAAGCCAAAATACAGTTTCTGAAGAGGAAGGTCATGTATCACTAAATATCAAATTTTTTTTCCAGGATTTTACAATCCTAAAGACAATGGAAATGCAGTATATTCTATTTTAAGAAAGAGAAAAACTGCATTTCCTAAGTAGAATTAACCATGAAAATAAATAGAACTGTGGCAAAAACACAATTAATCAACAGAGTGGTATTCAAAAAGAACAACTATCTATAAACATGTTACTCTCAGGTGGAAAAAAAAATGCAGGGAGGTTACTGCAGGAAAGTATCTAAGCCTCTGCGAAGAAATATACAACCAATGAAAAGCAAGCAACTCAAAGGGATGCAGGATGGCAAGCTAAAAGAAAGAGGCTGAAAAGAAAATTCCAAATATTCTGGAGGCTATTTATATCAGTCAGTTATCCAAAGCTTGAGAAAAATTATTCCCATACTCACAAGAGGGAAATAATGCAGAGAATAACCACAGCTATTTTTCACATCGTTTCCATGTCCTATGTCTTGTCATCCAGGGCTGCTGTAACAGAAATACCACACGTGGATGTAGCTCCACCAGTAAGTGCCTGGAGGTACCCCACTCCGCCAGTAAACTTTAGCTGAAAGGCACTCAGCTCTCTCACTCCGTGGGTTGGCTCCAGCGCTGTCTGGCACTGGTCTCCTGGTCCTGCTGCTGCCAGTCCTACTGATGCACAGTTTCAAAACCGCTTCCACGTTTTAGGTAGCTCCTAGAGCAGCACCCCACTCCTGGTACCAAATTCTGTCTTGGTCATCTAGTGCTGCTCTAACAGAAATACCGCAAGTGGATGGTTTTAACAAACAGAGATTTATTTTCTCACAGTCTAGCAGGCAAGAAGTCCAAATTCAGGGTGCCAGCTCCAGGGGAAGGCTTTCTCTCTCTGTTGGCTCTGGAGGATGGTCCTTGTCATCAATCATCCCTTGGTCTAGGAGCTTCTGCCTGCAGGAACCTCGGGTACAAAGGATGAGCTCTGTTCCTGGTACTGCTTTCTTGGAGGCGTGGGTCCCCGTCTCTCTGCTCACTTCTCTCTTTTATATCTCAAAAGAGATTGGCTTAAGACACATCTAATCTTGTAGACCTCATCAATATAATGCTGGCTAATCCATCTCATTAACATCATAGTGATAGTATTTACAACCAAAAAACCAAACCCCTTGCCGTCGAGTCGATTCCAACTCATAGCACCCTACAGGACCGAGTAAAACTGCCCCACAGGGTTTCCAAGGAGCACCTGGTAGATTCAAACGGCTGACCTTCTGGTTAGCAGTGGTAGGTCTTAACCACTACACCACCAGGGTTTCCATATTTACAACACATACAGAAATCACATCAGATGACAAAATGATAAGAGACACTCATACAATACTGGGAATCATGACCTAGCCAAGCTGACAGATATTTTGGGGGGACACAATTCAATCCATGACATCTTACCTTCAGAAATAAGAAAACACAGATCCCACAAGGCACATGTAACAGTCAGGTGGCTTTAAGGATACAGCTCATGCAAGATGTTGCCCAAAGGCCTATAGAGAGCTGCTATCTGAACTGCCTCATCACCCAGTGAGGATGACATCCTCTAGGCTGGGATCCTGAGTCCATATCTTAGGAACTCTGTGACCCAGAGAAAGTCACATTTTTCTTTATCTGTAAAGTAGGGATAATAAAAGCTACTTTTGTAGGGTTGTTGTGAGGATTAAAGATAACGTTTGCACAGCACCTAACAATCTAAGACATAGTAAAAAACCAGTTGCCATTCAGTTGATTCTGACTCATGGCGATCCCGTGCGTTGCAGAGTACAACTGCGCTTGTATGGTTGTACTCAAGTACAACTCTGAGCGGGTCTGAACCACCAACTTCTTGGTTATTAGTCGAGCGTTTAACCTTTGTGCCACCCAAGAACATTCCAAATACCATTTGTGCCTTTTATTCACACACAAAAACTGTTCCATGATTTGTTAACTACTTGTTCTGTAAATAATTTTGGTTTGTTTTTAATAAGGTAATACTGTAAAACAAAGATATGATAGGGTACCTCAGCTTCTCACCTATAAGACTGGATCAGATTATTAGCTCAGGAAGAGTTTATCTCCTGTGTAGGTAGCTCCTACCTCCTACATCAACTGAGATCTTAAGCTTGGTTTAAAAAATACCAAAAAAGAAAACAGTTGTTGGGGAGCAGATTCCACCTCATACCAACGTAGCCACGATGTTATCCTAAGATGTGGCAGCGTCAACCAGAAAAGACAATTTTCTGAACATAAACCTAAGAAATAAAGAATATCAGCATAACTCATCCAAACGAAAACAACAAAAAAATATAAACTTCCACAGGGTATAAATTTAGCCATACTGGTTCCCTCGTTTAATTGAATTTGCTCATCTGCTCTCTTCAGTTTGTGGAGAAAGTAGCGTACGGCAGGACATGAAGGTTTAAGAAGACACTGAATTTTTAAAACAACAACTAAAACCAAGAACGTCCTACAGTCAGGACAAAGTCAGCACAAAGTCACCCGAGCCCCTTGTAGTTTCTAGGTTCATACTTTTAAACAAAGAGCGCTAATGTCCGTAAAGACAACACCAAGTCACTTCAAGAATCAACAAAATTGTAAATTATGTTTCCTAAGCTGAAATGAAGCAGAAAAAGTTATTGGCATAGTTTAGAAATTATTTCCACACTTTGAATCATTTTCTGTCTGATCCTCAGTTAATGAGAATATGAAATTCATTGGAACTCATTACTTTCCCCAAATTCCTGTTAACCAAGAATTTATCTACTCTTAGAAAGCTTGAAGTTCTACCACGTCTTACCCAAATTATCTTCAATTCTATAAGTAACGCAGAGATACAAACATAAAACTTACTCAGGTTTGCTTGCATGGATTCTAAATCTGCTATTAAACCTGGAAGCTGCTGGAGCTGTTCCTGTAACTCTACCAGGCTGGTCTTCTTTCTCTCCCAGAACGCTGAAAGCATCACCACCTCGCTGTCCACCAGCTGCATCACCGAAGAGGAATGGGAAAGCCAAACCAGATTTTAGACACGAAGAAACTACAGTCAGCATAATGAGATTTAGTCAATGTTATCTTTAACAATCCCTCCACTGAGGAGAGATGACAGCACATGCTAGAGAAGACTGAAGTTGGTTTCTTTTTTAGGAAAGAACCAAGTTGATATTCAGTGCAGCAAACCTCAAATCACTGCTTGTGTAACTGCATCTTAACCCAGAGAAGAGACAGTTCAGAAATGACCTTAGAAATCACTTCTAAGTATACCCTGTTTTTAAGTAAACCATGAATTTGAAAATCCAAATCTAGAAAAAAATAAAACAAAAAACTGCCACTAACAACTGAAAAGAAAAACAAAAACCCAAAACATAATTAATGGGTAATCTTTGCTTCACAAAAGGAATTCTTCTAAAAGAAAAGTCCCCTGATGCATTTAAAATATACTATGATTTCATTTACATTTAAACAGGGACACTTACCACATAAAGTAAGGTAAACGGTACTTATATACGAAGGAATTATTGAGGCAACCCATCAATTCCAGAAAAAGGAGAAAAGGAGTCAGAAGGAATTCAAATGCAAAGAGCCCCTGACAGTAGGGTAGTTTGATACTAGACTAGCCTAAGATAATTCTACCTTCTCTTCCTGAAGATTGTAAAGAAAATGATAGGCATCAGTTTTTCCCAGACAATTATGTTTTGGTTTCAACATGGTGAGTGGGGAACAGGCCTAGAGTAAGATTTAGAAAGAGCAAGAAGAGGTCATCTTTTGGAAAATCAACTATAAGGAAGAACTGTGAAGTGCATTTATTTCTGCACAATAAAAATAAAAAGTTGTGAAACTCATTGTATAACAGAAGAAAATATACTTGAAATTTTATATATGTCACTGAGCTCAAAGTTAAGTTATAAAAAAAAATAATTTACACATCCTAACATTAAGATTTTTCAAAAGTTGGAATCTGAGTACAACTGATTCTCATTGAATCTCACTAAAATAAAAAACTTTAGAGGAATGAATACACCAAAATGATGCATAAAATTATTTGTACATGGTGCTAGGTTGTGTTTGTTCCACATTTTAATATTCTAGGAATTCAGCTACCATAAAGAGGTTAGAAAAACGCCTATTTCCTCACTCGATCCCCATGCTCAATGCACCTCTCTATTGCTTTGCAGCTCAGACTGGAGGGACAACTATACCATCTCTCACATACAAGCCTCAACTGAGCAGGGCAGGTGACAACAAGCTTGACTTGAGTTGCACTGTTCATTAATTTTGTGTATTCAGAAATGCCTACTGCCAACTGGTCTTTATAAAGACTGTCTTAGTCATCTAGTGCTGCTATAACAGAAATACCACAAGTGGATGGCTTTAACAAACAGAGATTTATTCTCTCACAGTCTAGGACGATAGGAAGTCGAATTCAAGGTGCCAACTCCAAGGGAAGGCTTTCTCTGTTGGCTCTGGAGGAAGGTCCTTGTCATCAATCTTCCCCCAGTCTAGGAGCTTCCCAATGCAGAGACCCCAGGTCAAAAGGACGCACACCCCTCCTGGTTCTTCATTCTTGGTGGCATGAGGTCCCCATCTCTCTGCTTGATCCTCTTTTATATCTCAAAAGAGATTGACTTAAGACAACCTGATCTTGTAGGCTGAGTCCTGCCTCATTAACATAACTGCCTCTAATCCTGCTTCGTTAACATCCCAGAGGTAGGATTTACAACAAATAGGAAAATCACATCAGATGAGAAAATGGTGGATAATCACACAATACTGAGGCTCATGGCCTAGCCAAGTTGACACTTATTTTTTGGGGACACAATTCAATCCATGACATTCTACCCTTTGCCCCCCCAAATTCATGTCCGTGCTACATGTAAAACATCGTAACATACCAAAAGTCTTAACTCCAAGTCCGAAATCCAAAAACTCCTCTTCATCTGTGAAATCTAGAATACAAGTTATCTACTTCCAAAGTACAATGGTGTAACAGGCACAAGGTAGATATTTCCATTACAAATGGGAGAAATTGGAGGGAAAGAAGGGATAACAGGCACCAAGCAAGTCAGCAGAACATATTACATTAGCCCTCAAGGCTTTGAAAATAATCCTCTGTTCTCTGAGACCATTTAGGCAATGGCCCTGCCCTCCAGACTCTGGGTGTTGGCCACACTCTCCGGATTCTGAGTGGAGGCCCCTCGGCCCTGGGCTTCAGCTTCATCTTCTAGGCCCACTGGAAACACAACTCTGCTCCGCTGGATTCAGGCGGCCCCATTCTCCTAGTCCATCTGTGTGGTGACTCCACCTCCTTGGCCCCAACAGGCCCTATTCTTCTGCCCCTTGGGCATGGCAGCCCCGACCTCTCAGCTTTGGGCAGCAGACCCAGCCCCATCCTACTGGCACTCAGGAAGGGCAGCCCCACACTCCAGAACCGAGCTGGTGAAGATCTGACTCTTTGAAACCTAGGAGGCTGTGGCTCCACCCTTTGAAGCCCCAGAGGTCCCGGCTGTACACTTTGAGACTGAGGTAGCTCTGCTTCCTGTGTTCCTTGTCTCTTCAGCTTCAGCTTCTGCTTCCTTGGGTTCGCGGCCCCCGGGGACTTTGGGGTGGCCCAGAGTCTGCCCTGCTGGGCAGGTGTTCCAAAGCTCTGTAGCTCCACCAATAAGTGCCTGGAGGCACGCCACTCCTCCAGTACACTTCGGCAGGAAGGCACTCAGCTCTCTTGCTCTGTGGGTTGACAAGCCTAGCTCCACCAATAAGTGCATGAAGACACCCCACTCCACCAGGAAGCCTCCTGAGCAAAGGCCCTCAGCTCTTGCTCCATGGGTCGGCTCCAGCGCTGTCTCACACTTGTCTCCTAGTTCTACACAATTCAATCCATGACAAAGACCTCTAAGAGTAGTTTAAAGAATGGTGATAATCAATACAGCTGTGATGCAAAGGCTCTGTGTTTACAAAATTCACTGACAATATTCAACGAGCTTCTACTGACCACCCACTACTTGCCAGGCACTATTTTAGGCACTGGACAGACAATAGTAAAGCAGAGCAATAAATCCTGCCCCCTAGGTGCTTATGTTCTGGTGTCAGGTCCAGAAATTCTCTGAGCTTCTTAGGGCTGTCTTTAGGACGAATAACATATTTTGTCTGGTACATCAGTGTATCTTTAGTTTGTCAAATTTAATTATTCTGCTTAACTGGGCTAATAATTTGAAATTTTATAATAAACAATTTTTAGGGATTAACCATTTCTTACTGAAAATTAAATGGCAAAATATTTAAATATTATGGAAGCAGACTGCCAGGCCTTTCTTCCACAGTGCTGCTGGATGGGTTTGAACCGCCAACCTTCAGGTTAACAGTTGAGTGCAAAACACTGGCACCACCCACGGCCCTAACTATAGTTCTGGGTGACGAAAAAGTTTGGAACTAGATAGTGGCAATGGTTGCACAACATCATGAATGTAATTAATGTCATTAAATTGTACACATAAAAATGGTTAAAATGGCAGATTTTATATATATTTACTACAACTTAAAAAAACCATACTCTATGCCTTTCACAAAATTGAAAATTATATTGTGAATACAGAATATAAGAACTGTATATAGAAAGAATATATCACAATGCACTGAAATATCTTTCAATTTAAAAGAATGAGGTTGAATAAATTCTCAGAAATCATTATCAATAATTACATAATAATACAAAAACGTTTTGTGCGCTTACTATGTGCTGCGCCCTGTGCTAAACAACTGACTTGTATTATCTCATCTAAACATCACAGCATTATCATCATCTCCATTTTACAGATGAGGAAATTGAGGCATAACAAAGCTAAGTCACTTTCCATGCGCCACACTGGATCTATTCAATCTCAAGGAATCTGACACATAAATCCATGCCCATCATCAATATCTTAGGGACTCTGCTATAGGGGCACATGAAAGGAGGAACAAAAGCAAAAATCTGTCCATAGAAAGGGTTCTGAAAACTATACTGTTACCTGTTCGTTATATGAGGTATAATTTTATGCTTAATGATGGGAAATTAGCTATCTTCAGAAGTCCAGTTTTTCCAACTTCAAATAACTCTGAATAAACCCAGATTTAACACCAGGAAATCAAGTATCAGTAGCCAGAAAAACTCATAGTGCTTCATTCAAAAATTCTTTCTGGTGGACGCTGAAGTCAGAAGAACCAAGAAAAAGCAGAGAGTACCTGTGATTTACACCATGGCCAACGGCAGGACCTTACTATGCGTGAACTCAACAGTTCAGAGTTTTGTTGGTTTGTTTGTGGGGGTTACATTGTTTCATTTGATTTCTAAAGAACTTGGTGTGGTAAAGGGCGTAAGGGGTATTAAACCATTTTATTGACAAGAGAACTAAGAGAGACTAAGCTATTCATCCAAGGTCATAATGTATTAGTGTGGCCAGGACTAGGAACAGGGATTTCCAATGCTCAGTTGAGTTTACTTTCAATTAGGCAGAGGAAATTCACTCTGGAACACAAACAGAGTGAAACAGTTTTAATTCAACCAGCCAACACATCAAATTATTCAATAAAACTATGAATCTTAAAGAGTTCCATTTGAAGGCAAGCAAATATTTCCTAATAAAGGGAACTGAAAGTAGACAATGAACTGGAAGTCTAACTTTGGAAAACTGCCCTCAAAGTCTAACCTCTAAATCATTATTAACAATGTATTAATTTATATATTGCTTGCGGGGGGAAAAAAAAAATCAAAGAATTGGTTTAGAAAAATTCTAGACCTTAAAGCTACTGCTGACCATGGCTGTTTGTTTTAGAAGATATGGCTCAGTTTTAAGATTATATGGCAAGAATTAGTTTTAAAGTAGATGATTATAATTTGTCAAACAAATGATTACGTTCTTGAATGAACAGTCCATGAGTATATTTTTCTGGGCAGGTGGAAGCTGTATGGTTAAAGGCCTTCAAAGACACTCAAGCATGGTCTGACAAGATATGCACATGCAGAATGCTGTGCAGATCAGAGACACCCACTTTAAACATTTACATATGTCTCAACAATATATCATACAGCGCTTTAAAATATATTTTCATTTTTTGAGCTGGGGATTATATTTCTCGAAAGCAATGGAGACATTTTAAATCAGATGTGGGTCTTAAAGTAACTGAGTACTCAACTATAACAAAAAAATTAACCTTAAAATCCCAAAACTGCATAAATTCAACAACAGATCTTACAGGAAATTCTTTCTCCTATACATGTATATTTTATTATGAAATGCTTCGTACATTCAAAACAATAATGTTAGTTAACGCTCCCGTACAGGACATAAAAAACCCAAAACCAAACCCGTTGCTGTTGAGTCAATTCTGACTCATAGGACATAGCAGAACTGCCCTACAGGGTTTCCAAGAAGCAGCTGGTGGATTCGAACTGCCAACTTTTTGGTTAGCAGCCCAGCTCTTGACCACTGCGCTACCACAGCTACATGTACAGGACATAATAAAAAAACTGTTGCCATTGAGTCGATTCTGACTCATAGCGAACCTATAGGACAAAGCACAAATGTCCCACAGGGTTTCCAAGGAGCACTTGGTGGATTCAGACTGCGGACCTTTTGGTTAGCAGCCAAGCTCTTAACCACTGCACCACCAGGGCTCCTGTACAGGACAGAGTCTTCATTTGACCTTGTTTGTGGGATTCATTCATGTTGATACATGGAGATACAGTAGTTCAAAATTTTTCGCTGCTATATGGCATCTGATTTTATGAATACCATAATTTATCTTACAGATGGACTCTGGGACTATCTGAAGTTTGAATAAGCTGCCAAAACATTCTTGTACAAATCTCCTAGTGCACATATGTAAGAGTTTCGCAAATGAGTTACAGATGTGCCTAAGATACTGATGCCTTTCATCCCCCCGAGTGGCCCAACATGGCCCGCGGCAACTAGACCCACCTCGCTCCAGTCACCCCAACCTCCGGGAGCCTTACCTATTTATTCCAGTGTGCTAAACCAACATTATCAGGGGGAAAGCTTGGGATGTTGTTGTGGTGTGCAGATTCGGACTCAAAGCAACCCATATGACAGAGCAGAACTGTCCACAGGGTTTCCTAGGCTGTAATCTTTACAAGAGTAAATCGCCAGGTCTTTTGCCCAGCAGCCCCTGGTGGGTCCAAACTGCGGACCATTCAGTTAGCAGCAGAGTGCTTAACCATCGCGCCACCAGGGCTCCTGCTTGGGATGTAACGCCCTAGAAATATCCCTAGCAGTGGAATTGTCTGAAAGGTGTGTGCGACTTCAATTTCCATTTAATACCAGCTTGTTTTTTTCTACCATGATTGTGCCCATCGATTTACACTCCCCAGTTCTAGCTGTTCCTCATCACATGTCTTTCAAGGATGGAAACAAAACTGCAAATAATGACTGTCTGCGTAGAAAACACACGATTTCTGAAATTTGTGATACTCTCCTGACCGTAAATTTGTTGTTTTAATTGGCATTTCCCTGATGACTAAAGCGAGGTTGAACTTGTTATCATGTTTACAGGCCACGCACGTTTTCTGTAAAATGCAAGGTTGTATCTTTTGCTCATTTCTCTATTGGGTTACTTGTGCTTTTCTTACTGGTTTTCAGAAGTTATTTATTTTACAGACGCTTGTCTTCTGTTTGTGAAAGCTTGTGAGGGCTGACAGCCTTCTCATGGTGTTGCTTGATGAGCAGAATCAAATTTTGACAAAAAATATCAGTTTTTATTTGTGGTTTGGTGCTTTTAATGACTTAAGACATTTTTTTCTTAAATTCAGAGCCATTAAAAATTTTCTCTTTATTTTCTAAAATATTGATCATTTTACTTTCCACATTTATGTTTAATGGGGCCGAAATGTGGGCCAAGGTCTCTGAGTACTTTTACCCGACATTATACCAGAGGCTCTGAGCAGTGCAAGAGGACACCAGGAAATAAAAGGCGTGACAGACAGGAAGGGAAGAAACAAGCCCACCATCTACACAGAACCTCCAATAGAAATCATCACAATAAGAAGATTTACCAACATGGCTGAACATGGAAATCAAATACAGCCGGGTTTTGGTACAGATCAAGATAAAGACATTATCTTCTATTAAAAATTTACTAATAGTGGTAAATCACTAATAAAATTTCCTCAGATTTGTACTGTTTCTAAGATTGGCTTTGGCAGAAATTTCTAATATTTTGTCATTTCATCTAAGTCTTCAAATTTGTCAAGAGAAAAACTAACCTTTTTACTCTCTGCTAAAACTATAGTTATTATCTCCTTTAATTCTTAAATTTATTTGTGCTTTCAAAAATTCTCAACTGTTTATCTTTCCCCGCACACACCATCTCTCCCTCATTTTCTCTTTCTAGAATGTTTATTAGATATATTAGGTTGAATTGTGTGAAAATGCAGCTTTACAGATCAAAATTGGTCAAATATTAGCAATCTCATTCAGTTATATCTACAGACCTTTTACACCTATTCTCTGCCTATTAACTCCTCTTTCATATTTTCTATTTTCTTATCTCAGAGACGCTGTCTGGGTAATTTCTTTGGCTCTCCACTAACTCTTTCTTCAGTTGTTATCTAAGCACATTCTTTGAGTTATTAATTTCAGTGACCTTAAAAAATAATTTTTGATAGTATCTTATTTCTTACTCTTCGTAATCCATCTTCTATACCTATAAACATTTTATATATGCCTATTCAATGGTCAGGAAACCCTGGTAGCATAGTGGTTAAGTGCTATGGCTGCTAACCAAAAGGTTGGCAGTTCGAACCCACCAGGCGCTTCTTGGAAACTACGGGGCAGTTCTACTCTGTCCTGTAGGGTCGCCATGAGTCGGAATCGACTCGATGGTAACAGGTTTGGTTTGCTTTTTATTCAATGGTCTACATCTGATAGTGCAATATTCAAAGTCCTTTGTGGGTCTAAATCTAATTTTTTTGGTTCTGGTGACTCATACTTTTTGTGGTTTATTTGTGTATTTGGTAATTTTTTTAAATTCCAAGTTCATACTCGGTTGAATTAACCTTTGGGAATCCTAAGAGGCCTAGGTTAAGAAAGTCTCATTTGTGGAGAATTTGTGTTTGTTCTGTTTGGTGTCAAAGAACACAGTCATGTGTGGCCCTTTCATTTTCTAATCCTAGGGGTTCCCTGATCGTGGAGGAAGTACAAGTTAGAATCCCACACTCACGTGAAGCCAAGACCACGTAACAAATTCAGAAAGGAGACCACATATACTCCGAGTTGTTATGAAGGACAGGTTTCCTTGTTGACAACTTTTGCCAACAGGTAGTTTTTTTTTTCTGTTTTCCTAGCTTAATCTTTCACTGGGGGTAAAGCCACTTCAAAGGTCCAAGAATACAATTTATGCAGGAGTCTCAGACTCTGTTCCCTCCACGTAAAGTTACCTATCCTCATAAATCTCCAAGGAGTCTGGTATTAATATTTCACCCCAGCTTCCATGTTTTTTTTTAACTACTCTCATCTCAGTTCCCTGCTCATTTTGGGAGGCCGTTAGGATTACCCTTAATTTCTGTGAGATCAGTACATTAAAAAAATTTTTTTTAGTCTATCCAGCATTAAAGTGTTTTACAGTTGTAGGGCTTTTCAAATTATCTAGTCTGCCTTATTGCCAGAACCCCAAATTCCCTCTTTTCAGTTAATTTCTAAGAGAAACACTGATGTCTAAATTTCATCATATGTATTCCCATGTTCTATATAACAATTATAGCTGCACTAATGTAGGTAAATGGTAAAGAAAATCAGTCTCAATTAATTAAAAGACTCAAAAAAGTGTTTTTAGAAAGAAATAAAATGTTCTACGGAAATCAACAGCAAAGTATTTGACCTTGGCAAATGAAACTTTAAGTACATGTACCAAATAATTACAAATCACTTTTATTCATTATATATGCTATACGTAGTACCTGAGAATAGTTTGTTCTTCTAAGTGAATTGAGGATGACAACTGTTCGTCTGCTTGTTTCTGTATCTTTATATTTATTTAAGCTAAGCAAACTACTTAGGCACGTTGAGCAAAGTATAGCTTTTACCCAAATAATAATGAATTCTTAAACAGTGGATGCAAAGAGACTGCATCTTAGAGTTTACATATATTGCAAAGCCATTAGACTCAAATTCATAAGCATTATAACCTGATGAACCAAATATTTAGCTGCGACCTTGGAATAAACTCTCTAAGCCTGACTAAACTAAATGAGATCACTTCACTGAGACATTACTAAAATGTGCTTTTTACTCAGGGAGTTTCATAGTCGACTATTAAATTCAATTTTAGATACCCTGCAAAACATTTTAATACAAACACCTTATAAATTTCATTTGTTTAAAACTAGCATTTAACATTGAATAAAGAAATTTTCCCACAGGTTTAAGATCAGAACATTCTTTACCTCTCCAGCAATTGCACATTCCTTGGCCCTTCTGTGAAGTGCAGCCCATGTATCTTCATATCTAAGAAAAGCAGAAGTAATTCAAAACGTAAACCATACATAAAAAAATTAAAAAAAAAAATACAGAGGAACTTCTGGGAAGATAGTGGCATAAGCAGGTCTGAGATCCTGACCCTCCCGCACAAGCATCAAGAAAAGCAACTAGAAATCTGAACTCAACCCTGTAAGTAGGTGAACGAAGGCAACAATGAGCCACAGACTGCAGCAAGATGAAGGAGCATTTTAAACGGCAGAAGATCTTTTTCCATTTCCCCACCCCTTCCCACCAATCACAGCAGCCACATGGCTGCAGCGGAGCCCCAACTAACCCACGGTCCTCCTGTGCACAAAGAAGGGCCCTGGACCTCTGGTTCTGAAGTAAATATGAAAGACCTTACCAGTGCACTGTTCATTGTGTCTGTTCTGACCCGTGTGGGAGTGGCCTCTAGGGCAGAAACTTCAGTCTGGCCTAAATCAAAGGTCTCACGGGGCAGGCGAGGGAGCAATGAGCAAAGACTGAAGGCTGTGCCCACCTGGGAGTTCGTCATATTCAGAAAGAAGGGCCCCCAATCTCTAGCTCTGAAATGAACAGGACAGATTATGCTGGTGGACTGATGAGTGTGTCTGCTCTGACTGGTCCGGCAGCTGCCTGAAGGACTGAAACCTTGCTCTGGCCTGAATTAGAGCTCTCACGGCACAGGGAGGGAGTGCTGAGCAAAGACTAAAGGCTGTGCCTGCCTAAGAGATTTCTGCAGGAATCAGTGCCTTTGAAAGCACTGTGTATACAATGGGATTGAGAAAGCTAACACGTTGCAGTATTCTAATGTTTTGGCTTTGACAAAAAATCAGGCATACAGAGACACTGGAAAGGGCAGTCCATTCAAAAGAAGAAGACGAAATAAGAGAAATCATCCTATGAAAGCCCAGCTAATGAACAGATTAGAAAACTTCAAAACAAAAATATTAAACATGCTCAAAGAACTAAAGGAAAACATGGACAAAGAACTAAAAGAAATTAGGAAAATGATGCATGAACAAAACAGGAATATAAATAAAGAGACAGACACTACAAAAAAGAAACCAAAAACCTGGTGATCTAAGATAAATAAGTGAAATGAAAAACGCATAGTAAGAACTGAACAGTAAGTTTGAGCTCACAGAAGAAATAATCAGTAAACTAGAGGATAAAGCAGTAGAAATTATTGAGTCTGAACTGCACCAAGAGACAAGGATCAAGACAACTGAGTAAAGCCTAATGGAACTGTGTAACACCAGCAAGTGAACTAACATCTGCCTCATGGTAATTTCAAGGAGAAGGAAGAAAGGGACAGAAGAATATTTGAAGAAACAGTGGCAGAAAACTTTCCAAATACGACAAAGGAAATGAAGCTATAAATCCAAGAAGCTCAATGAACTTCAAGTAGGATAAACCCAAAAAGATTCACACCAAGACACATTATAATCAAGTTCTCAAAAACTAAAAGTAAAGGGAATCCTAAAAACAGCAAGAGAGAAGAGAACTGTCACAAACAAGGGATCCTCAATAACAGTAAGTGACAATTTCTCCTCAGAAACCTTGGAGGCCAGAAGGTAGTGGAATGCCATATTTAACATGCTGAAAGAAAAGAAGTGTCACCCAAAAATTCTTTTTCCAGCACAACTGTCCTTCATGAATGAGGATGAAGTTAAGACATTCACATACACACAAAAGCTGAAGGAGTTAGTTACTGTTGGGAAAATGGTACAGCAGTCTATCGCACAGCCTTCCGACCCTTACATGGGCACATCGTCAGAAGCATTAGGCCCAGAACATTACAGAACAGAGGCTGGGAACTGAGATGCTCTCTCCCACTCTCCCAGTCTCCTCTCCTTATCAGGGAAACTCCCTCCCTGTTCTGGGCACACAGAAAACTCTCTCTCTGCTCTGCTTACGTGTGTGCATCACATGGCATCTGGTCAACCCTCTATCTGTTACTAAACCAAAAAACCAAGCCTGATTCAGAGTCATAGTGACCCTACAGGACAGACTAGAACTAGCCCTCCCAGCCCTTCTAGCCATTATCTTTGTAACTCCCACCAAATGACTGGGTGGAATCATATAAATGAGGCACTCGTGGCCCACAAAGGGGATTGGATAGCTTACTAATAATGTAAATAAGGTGGACAGCACCCTTGTGGAGGTGGGACTATACTAATAAGGTGTATGGAACCCTAAGGAGGGGATTGGTCAGTTTTGCCATCCCACTAAGCTTAAAGGAAGATATGGAGAAAGAGGGGAATTGTAACACGGAAGGCAGTGAGAGATGGTGGCAAAGCAGTAGTAGGAGTTACAGCAGTGGGAGACGGCAGGAACCAGGAGACCAGCAGGAGACAGTGCAGTGAGTTTCCTGGCCCACGGAGTGAGAAAGCTGAGCACCTTCGGGCAGGAGGCTTGTTGGCAGAATGGGGTGCCTCCAGGCACTTACTGGCAGAGCTAAACAGCTTTGTAACACTTGCCTGAGCAGGACAGAGGCTGGGCCAAGGGCCAGGGAGAGGCCTACCTGCAGCCACGGCTGAGAAGAGGCTGTCCTGATGGAAGAAGTATATCCTAAATTATAACCTATAACTTCCCTAATAAACCTCATAATTGTGAGTATGGTCTGTGAGTTCGGTGTGGCCACTGCAACAAATTATTGAACCTAGCAGAGAAGTAGGGAGGGCCTTGGGAGGGACAGCTGGTGTCAGAATCAGTTAAAAGGTTGGAAGGTGGAGGCATGTCTGACCTCTGACTCACAGCAATCAGCCTTGGGCTATTGATCTTGATTCTCTTTCCCCCTTGTGAAGTTAGAGGAGGTCAGACACCCTGCCACCTCATTTTTACAGTTGGCATCAGAAGCGAGATTCGTTGCAATGGCTCCAGACTCATGGAAGCATGGAGAAGTGGCGAGGGACGTGAAACTTTTGATTCTTGAGTGGTTACTTTGGTTTCTGTTATCTGTAATGGCTGAAAATAAAGTAAGAGACGTTATGGTGCAGCTGAGGGGAGAAGAGGTGCATCTGGAATGGCTTGGGGACAAAAGCCAGGCTGGAAAAGCAGGATAAGTGATAGGGGGCCAGGGTCTTGTGGTTCCACCCAGCTAAAGACCCAAGGCCATATGCATATGAATGGGAAGATACTTACAGTGTAGAGATGATAAAACCGGAATGTGTTTATTTGAATGTACTATGGATACTGAATGTATCTCCTACCTAGTATTGTAAAACAGACCTACATGTATAATGGAAATGAATACTGGGTATTATAGATTTCAGAGAGCATGTAACTCCACCTTCAGTCAATACTTGACTGGACATGCTAAAAGGGAAGCTAGGATTTTCCCAAAAGAAACATAGGCTGTTAGTTTGAATGCAGTAGCCCTGTGAATATAGTGGGCATAGGCTGAAAACCTGAGCCCCACCCAGGACATCTGTATCTGAAAAGCCATGCAGACCCATCCAGAACTGCTGAGAGAACAGGGAAACTGCACTTGAAGGAAGGACCTACAGGAAAAAAATGATTGTTTTGCTTTTTGAATTCTGAGCAAGAGGTTTGCCTTTGGATGCCCTGAGGCATAAATGTCAGTCAGTGCCCATGAGAAGAACCCTCCTTTTTAGGACAGGAAGTTAAAGGAAGCCAGCGGGTAGACAGCCTCACAGCCTCGTAGGCTTGTCTGTGGTGACCACCTGGTCCACTTGATAAGTGGAAGTGGGGGAGGTGCAGCAATGAAGAGACAGGCTGAGTTTGGACATGTTTCACTGGCACCTGTGCGGGTAAGGGTATGAGAGAGAGAGGAGGGGCTGGTTGGTCTGATGTGAAGATGAACTCCTGAGCCTACAGGTGGTGCCTGTTGACCTAGCCCACAGGAGACAGGGATGAGAAAGGGCTGGCTGGTCTGAAGTGCAGGGAGGTGTGTAGACTCTCGAGCCTGCAGTGCAGTGAATTACTTAATATGGCCCTACTAGCCATAGTCTTTGTAGCTACTACCAAATGACTGGGTGGGACTACGCAAACGAGGCTACTGTGGCCCAACAAGGGGATTGGACACCTTGCTAATAATGTAAATAAGGTGCATGGCACCCTCGTGGGGGTGGGATCACATATATAAGGTATATGGAACCCTAATGAGGGGATTGGTCAGTTTTGCCATCCTGCTAGGCTTAAAGGGAGACACAGAGAGAGGGGGGAGCTGTAACACGGAAGACAGTGAGAGACGGCAGCACAGCAGTAATAACAGCAATAGCAGCAGAGATGGCAGGAACGAGGAGATTGGAGCAAGACAGCTGCGGTGGGGCTCGCTGACCCACGGAGCTAAGAGAAGGCTCCCAGCAGGACCCAGTGGCAGAGGGCAAGCAGAAGCTATCCTGATCGAGGAACTGCATCCTGAGTTGTTTCTGTTACTTCAGAGTCGTTCCTGATCCCGAGTTGTACCCCATTACTTCCCTAATAAACTGTTTAACTGTAACTACGGTCTGTGAGTTCTGTGAGAACTCACAGAATTAGGGAACCCAAAGACAGGAGGGAGAGTACTTAGGGGAGGGGGAGTAGCTGATACTAGAGATGATGGAGTGGGACAGCAGTTTGGAAAAGTTGGACATCTGGGACATCTTTAACCTCCACCTCACAGGAACCAGCTTTGTGCCGATCCTGATAAAAGAAATTATTCATTTAGATATTAAATGCAATTCTCATGGTAACCACAAGGAAAAAATCGAAAAACGACATACAAAAGGAAAGAAGAAAATCAAAATTGTTTACTACAAAAATCAGCTAAAAATAAATGTTAGCTGTATTGCAGGAAATGAGGGACAAAAAAGATCTAAGCCACACACAAAAAAACAAAAACAAAATGGAAGAAGTCAGTCCTTCCTTATCAGTAACGACCTTAAATATAAACGAATTAAACAGGCCAATCAAAAGACAGAGAGTGGCAGAATGGATTAAAAAGCATGACCCATTTGTATGCTGTCTATAAAAGACAAACCTTAGGCCCAAAGACATAAACC